CAAGCTATTAAGTAATTGAGCTATATATCTAAGAAAAATATTTAAAATAAACTTATCCTAATCAAATTAGGATAACTTTGTCTTGAAAAAATCAAAATACTTGAACTAACCCTAATTCAAAATAGATAAAAATGCCATCCAAAAGTAACTAAAACACAAATAACATCTTAAAATAAATAAACGTCACTATAAGGGTTTTTTTTTTATGCAACACTACAAGGGTTTTGTGCCAACCACTAGAAATAGGCTTGAAAAAAGGAATTATCTCCAGGAAGAAGGACCTAAGATGATAATACGATTGCTATTGCTGCATTATTTTGATGGGTACCATGGGATGGAAAACCCTCTTCCAAAAGCGCTATCAAGGTGGAAAAAGATATTCCATAGAACTGAATTCTCCACCAATATCCCCTCGAAGAGTAGGCATCCTAACGGTTGCACTTTACAACATTTCATTTGACTTCTCAACTTCCTCATCAGTTAAAAACCTTCTTTTATCGGTTAAAATCCTCTATAGGCGGCCCTTTCTAGAAAATTTTTTGATACCAATTGGCAGGTTCCTAAATGATATGAGGAACATCTCCGAAGGCTAGTTATAAAGGTAGGAGAGTGATGGTATTGTCAAATAGTACTAAAATTAATAAAAAAATAGATTTTATGATAAAGTACCACATTTAAGAGTTAATAGATTAACTATTTGAATTAGTATTATAGAAAGCTAGATAATGGGGGAATTTTTTTATGAAAAAATTAATTAAAAAATTATATTAAAATTAAATAACTAAAAGCAAGTTCAACTAAGAAAATCACCAAGCATAGACAACACAATTAATTACAATCTAATTACTTAAACTTAATTTTTCACATCCACAAAATAAATTAACTTTATTTAACTTTATTATTCTGATTTTATTATATATTTTTCCAAAATTATTATTCAAGAATTAAACAACAAGTTAAGTTATAGAGTAATTAAAATCTTTCTTAAACTACAATTTAATAATTATTTTTATATTACACACACAAGAAACAATGCATGAATAATCACCCAATAATAAATTGTAATTTTATATATTTTTTATTCTTTCAATTTAGATTTTTTTAATATTTATTTGAGACTAATTGAATTTAATTGAATACTATTTAATTTTATTAACCAATATTCAACTTTTATACTTTTAACTATCTAAATCTTGAATTTTAAAATATAAATAATCTCTTTGATATTTTTATATACTTGCTATTTAATTTTATTTTAATTGTGTAAATTTTTTGAATTCAATTTAAAAATATTGATAGAGATTATTTTAGATAGAAAAATATATGTATACTTAAAGATTAAGTCAATAATTAAATCTTATAAAATTTATTTATGTTTATTTTTGGTTTTCTAATTTAATTTTTAATTAGAGTTATTTAAGATAATTATGTCATTTTTATTAAAATTTTAGGTTTATTTAGCATATAGAGGTGTGGCATGATTAGCCACGCAAATCACTCTGAATTGACTTGATAGAGACGCACAATGCTTTGAATTGAAAAGAAGTGACAAGATGGCTGATTCAGAGAGATTGCCGATTTGCACAAGGGGCGTGCAAGCAACTAGTCAAACTTGAGCTTTGGCCAGAATTCATGCAGCTGGATTGTTTAGAATGAATTAGATGAAACTAAACCAGCTCAATCGAGTTCCTACTCTAATTTACACCTACCATGGTGGATAGCGTTTGCTTACATGCATTGGAATTTTTAAACTACACGTTGTAAAAATATTTTTGATGAACAGGTGAATCTAATTCAACTTGATCCAAACAGGTGTCTTCTAAAAGCTTCAGCTGACTCTAAATGGATGGGCAAACTCCAAGCAGCCCACCTTCCCTCTAGCTGTGATAAATCATGGCACCCACCATCAGAAGGTGGCAGAAGACTAGACGTTGATGGTCCTGCATAATGGATTTGCAACTTGTGGTGATATTATTACCCATGATCAAGGAGGTTAGGTAGTAAGTTTCAAATGCAAACTTAAAAACTATCCATCCACCGCAGAAGTTTTAAGAATTTCAGAAGGGCTTGATCTTTGTTAATCTAAGGAATTCATAAACATTGAAGTTTACCTTGATTGTGTGAAAACAATTAATCTTATTTTGAGAGGTCATCACGAAGAACACCCATATCATAACATTATTCAAAATGCTTGTAATGTTCTTTATAGAGATTGGCTTGTTTTCATTAACTTTGTTTTTAAAGACGTTATTAGTCATGCTCACTACCTTGCAAAAGAAGCTTACTTTATGGAGAGTTATTTTTGCACCTTTGATCATTTTTCACTTAATATTATGTTAGGAGGTGAATGATGATTGAGGTCACTCTCTTTGTTTTTCTTGTTTTTAGCTCTTTTGCTTTTTATCTTCTAGATGGTTGAATGAATTTTAACTTTGATCCAAAAGAAAAAAAAGAAGTAACGGGGACAGCAATAGGTGCCACACTTCAATTTTTTTTTTTGTTATTATTGTCATTTACAAGTTTTAAAAGAACTAATTTTTTTAGTATGATTAATTATAAATTATAATTTTAAGCTGCAATCAAAATTCTTGATATTTAAAAAATATTTTATTTAGTTTTATTTTAATTTATTTTTTTCTCTCTTTGCCTTTAAATTTTATAATTTAATTGGTATAGTGGATTAAACAAGTGTCATTGCATGATTTTTAAATTATATATTTTATCTAAGATTTTGCTTACTGTAATCAATTAATATAGCAATATAAAAGTAATTTATCTTGGCTTGGGTGATTATTCATATTTGGTTTCTAATGTGGGTAACATTGAAATAGTTATTAGGTTGTGGGTTAAATGAAATTTTAATTAACCTATAACTTAATTTTTTATTTAATTCTTGAATGGTAATTTAGAAAAATATAGAATAAAATTAGAATAATAAAGTTAAATAAACTCAATTTATTTTGTGGATGAGGAAGATTAAACTTGATTATAATTGATTGCACTGTATGTACTTGATAATTTTTTCAATTGAACTTGCTTTAATTATTTAATTTAAATTTATTTTTTTAATTGATTTTTTCATAAAAAATCCTCCCACTAGTTAGCTTTTCAAGTAGTTAATCCATTGACTCTTAGAGAGACAACTTATATTGCACTTTATTATAAAATCTAGTTTTATTATATTTTAGTGCTATTCAACAATAGTGTCACCACTAAATTGCTCTTATAATGTTATATCAATCGATTATAGCAAATAAAATTTTAAATAAAATAAATAATCCAAAATCATGCAAAAAAAACTACTCTAATCAACAATAACAATTAAAGTATAAAATTTAAAGGTAGAGATATGAAGAACAAATTAAAATAAAATTAAATAAAATTATTCATGAATATTAAAATCTCTTATTACAGTTTAGAATAATGGTTTGTGATTTATCACGCTAAAAAAATTAATTATCCATAGTTTTAAAATTCAAAAAGCACCAGTCGAATAGGAGAGCATGAGAAGCCATCGCCCAAAGTGAAGAAAATAAGAGGAAGAGTGACAATTAAGTTCCAAAACAGTAAATTAAAGCCAGTTAAGTTTTCAATAAAATTTTTTATAAAATAAATTATAAATATTAATTTAAACAGTTAAAAATAAAAATTTCTGTTACAATCTAAAATTACATTTAATATTTAAATATTTATTTATAATTAAAAATATTAAATTTATAATAATTTAAATTGATATTTTAAATTTATTTTAAAAAAATAATTAAAAACTTAATTGATATTAATTTATTATTTTAAATTCTAACCGTCATTCTGGAAAAAAATAAAAGATGATGAAGAGCAAATGGCGTTCCCCTCTGCTCTTTATTTTTCAAATTCCTCCGCCGCCGCTCTGTTTCTATTATTTCTTCCCTTTTTATTCCAAAAAGTAGTGCGTCCCTTTCAATTGAATTCAATTCGGAGCGATTTGTGCAGCTAATCATGTGTTACCCATTTGCTAAATAAACCCAATAATTTAATAAAAATTGACAAAACTATCATTAATAACCCTAATTAAAAAATATATAAAAAATAAACATAAATAAAGTTTTTAAAATTTGATTCTTAACTTAATTATCAAGAATACTCACATTTTTCTATTCAAAATAATTTTTATCAATATCTTTTAAATTAGATTTAGAAAATCTGAATAAATAAAAAAAATTAAATAGTAAATGTATCAAAATATCAAACAGATCATTTATATTTTAAAATTAAAAAATTAGGTAGTTAAAATCTAAAAGTTGAAGATTGACTAATAAAATTAAATAATATCTATTTAAACTTAATTATAACTTCAAATAAATATTAAAAAATTTAAATTAAAAGAATAAAAATATATAAAATTGTAATTTATGAGAGAATCAGCCTAATTACGTATACAACATGTGAAACTCAAGAATCCCATACAGTCTAAGTCTAAATCAACCTTAATTTGCAGGCAGCAAAGCAAAAGAAGAGGGAAAGTACCTTATGTCTCAATCAAACTGATATTAGGGGCAAAAACACCAAAGAAAGAGACACACACAGGGGACCGGGGTCTCTCCCTTTCTTTTCCTCCCTTTCCCTCCACTTTCTCCATCTCCACCATTTAAATTTTTTTATTAAATAATTTTTTTAAATAAAAAAATTAATGAATGGTGGAAATGAGGGAAGTGGAGGAAAATGGAGGAAAAGAAAGTGGAGAGACCCTATATGCCACACAGGGTCACAGGCACAAAGATAATTACATAGAGATGAGCGGAAAGAATTTATATAGGATATAGATGAACTCTTTGATTCATTCACAAGAATTCACATATTAACACAACCTTATTTATCCCAAAAAAGATTTATATACCAACTTTACGAAGTCAAAACTCTCGTGTTGGTCAAATGATTAAAAAATTATGGCTGCTAATACCCAAAACAAATCATGGCTGCTGTGAATATTCCATTAAAATGGAGAAAGATACTCCTTCAAGTGCTAAATGTAGTAGCTAAATTACTTATTCACATAGATTAAGGAAAGAGACAGTTGACCTCAAAGATGAAATGTAGCTCTTACATATATTTACATCCTCTTTCACTTGATTTTAGAAAAATGATACGAGATTGATGAGTTACAGCACATTAAGCCAGCTGCTAATTTTGGCACAGGCCCCAACATTTCATTTACATGAATCTAGCTAGCTATCATTTTCAATATCCAACCTACTATCCCTTTTAGAATTCTTTAGTAGGGGAACAGCCTCGAAATGACCAAAACCCATTTCTGCATAAACAATTGGATCTTTCAAGCGAAGCAGTTCATTCACAACTTCCTTCATGGAAGGCCTACCAACTGGCTCTTTGGTTGTACACATCACCCCAAGCTTGAAGGCACTGCACATTTGCTCCAAGTTCGAAGTTTCCTTAACATCTTCGTCTAGAATTTGTTCTATGCTACTTCCTAATTGATTATGACGCCATGCCCATTCTGCAAGAGATGAGTGTTCATCTCCATAGTTGGCTTCTTTTCCAGTTGTCAGTTCCAATAGGATAACCCCAAAGCTATAAACATCAACCTTTTCGTTCACTCTTTTTGTTTGAGCATATTCTGTAAATTCATGTCTCAAATAGCACTCATGTCAGTTTATGCAGTTTGAAAGGAAAGAAAAATTTAATTTGAAACTAAGCACTGTTTCCCTTATTAGTCTTTCCATCAAGTAACTCAAAGGTGAGGGAAGGATTATCATGCAATAAATTTGTGATTTTTGTGGACTAAAATGCTGATTTACTAATCTAAGATTATAACTAGATACAAAAGCCAAGGAATTAATTGTTAGTTTACTGAAAAACTAGAATGTGGGCTCGTGTTTGGTATGAAGTTAACATAATATTACTAATAAGTTATCAACAGTATGACATCCTAGTATATATAAAATATGTTTGCCTAATCATTTACCTGGAGCGATATAACCAAAAGAGCCAACCACAGATGACATGGTATCAAGATGTCCTGGATGGATCAACATCTTGGCAAGACCAAAATCTGCAACTTTTGCATTGAACTGAGAATCCAACAGAATGTTGCTTGTTTTGACATCACGATGAATAATGGGTGGTGAGTTGTCATGATGCATGTAGCTCAAGCCTTGTGCAATCCCAATGGCTATTTGCAATCTCCTTGGCCAGTCAAGAATAAAACTATGAACGGTGGATGACGCACCTGATGAGCCACTCTTCTTATGTAGCCACTTATCGAGACTATGATTTTCCAAGTACTCATATACAAGAAGTAGAGAATCCTCATTAGATATACAACACAGCAACTTCACTATGTTAATGTGACGAATACTGCTCAAGATTTCAACTTCTGCAAGAAATGCATTTTCAAGTTTCTGATGCAACTTCCTGTTATTGCTTATCTTCTTCACAGCAACATAGTCTTTATCATTGATAGCAATACGATGTACTGTACCATACCCTCCTCTGCCTATAATGTTACCGTCTGTCATGGATGAGACAATATTTGATTCTGTGAAACTCAGCTTTTGGAAGGAAGTCAACTTCCATGAAGTGTCCAATTCTTGCTTTCTGTTTTGGTAGAATCTCATCATCAGAAATGACACCAAGAAAATTGCTATGGATGCTACTATAGCAAGGCCTATGATCAAAGCAAGAGGCACAGATGAGCCTTTGCTTGACCTTTGAGGGACAGAACCAGAATTGCACAAGTTAAAGTTTAGTCCAGCCGTATCAACACAAAGACCGGAATTGTTCAAAAAGCTGGTAGCATAAGCAGAATTTTCAAATTCACTGGGAATTTTCCCAGTCAACTGATTAGAGGAAAGGTTGAGATCAGGGGGTCTAATAAGGGATATTTGAGATGGAATTTGGCCAGAGAATTGATTTTGTGACAAGTCTAGTTGTGTAAGGTCAAGCAAATGACCAATTGAATCTGGGATTTTCCCAGAGAGTTGATTTTGGCTCAAGTTTAGAGTTCTCAGAGATTTCCATGATATAATTTCAGATGGAAATGGGCCAGAAAGTCTGTTCTGATCAAGCAACAAAGTTGCTAGATTGGAAAGACTGGTTAGCTCTTGTGGAATACTTCCATTAAAGAGGTTGCTACTTGCATTAAACACAACCAGATTCTTCATGGAAGATATTCCTGCTGGAATTGGACCAGAAAACTGATTGTAACTAATTGCCATGAGTGAAACATTCACAGGCAATGTTTCAGGAAGCTCACCTGAGAATTTATTGTCATTGATCATGAAAGTTGACAAATTCTGAGATGCCCAGAGGCTGCTAGGAATTTTGCCTGAGAGTTCATTATTGTATATCTTCAACTCTAATAGGCTACGACAATTTCCCAATGATTCTGGCAATTGCCCACTAAGTTTGTTGTCATAAGCCGTTAATCGAAATAAGTTGCCATGGAAACACAAGTTCTGAGGAAGACTGCCAGTGAAACTGTTTGATGCAAGCTCAAATGTTCTAAGATTTGAATGAAGCCCAAACTCTGGGGGAATATTACCTGATAAATTGTTGATGAAAACCCTAAAGTCTATTATGGATGGAAGACGGCCTAGGCTTTCTGGAATCTCGCCAGATAATTGATTACATCCTAAGTTCAAACCAGTTAGCTTACTGAGATTTCCGAAGCCTTCAGGTATCTTCCCCGTAAGATTGTTCCAAATGAGGTCAATGATCGTCAAGTTTAAGGCTTCAATCGCTTGAGGTAGCTGACCATTAAGCTGATTCTTTGAAAGAAACAGGATGCTAAGATTCTTGAGCATAAACAAACCACTTGGAATTTTCCCGCTTAAACTATTTGAGGATAAATCCAACATCTCCAAGGCAACCAGTTCCCCAATAGTTTCTGGGATTTCACCGATCAAGTTGCAGTCATGCATTTCAATATCCTTCAATTTGGTGAGCTTGTTGAAGCTAGGCGGAATCTTTGAAGGAGAGAACGGGTTGATGCCCAAATTTAAGACTTCAAGATTGGACAAGCTGCCTATTTCACTCGGAATAGTGCCATTAAATAGACAAGAATTAAGCTGAAGACTTGTCAGGTCCTTTAACCGCCAGACGCTCGCCGGAATCTCACCGGAGAAGTTGTTGCCGCCAAGGTTAAGAAAACGCAGGTTAGCCAATCGGTCAATGTCATCTGGAACTTTACCAACAAAGTAATTATTAGAGAGGTCCAGGTGCTCCAGCTTGGAGCAGCTGTAGAGATACGTTGGGAACTCCCCAGGAATGAAATTCCATTGAAAATCAATGGAAGTGAGGTTTTTTAGGTCACAGATGAAAGGTGGGACCGTGTGGGTGATGGTGATGTTTCGCAGAGCCAGTCTTGTAACAGAGTTACTGTTGCAGGTGATCTCTGTCCACGAACAATGGGATGAATTATCTGATTGTGTCCAGTGACTGAGGGAAGACGGGTTCTGAAAGTACTGCTTCATCCTCAACAAAACTGCATGTTCTTGATCATACAGTTCAGACTGAGAGTTTGCACAGTTCAGACAGAAAACGAAGAAGACGAAGAAGAAAAGAAAGTCAACTCGGACATGGAGCCAGAACAACGGGGCTGAATTTGTCATCTGGATATGTGAATTTCGAAGAGGAGATAGGATTCGATGAGAAAGAGAGAATCACGCATGTATTTAGCAATGTCAGGATTTCACACAGAGATCTTGAAACGATGAAAATTCGTTCGCATGTTGGCTCGCCAACAAACTTGGACTTTCAAGGTCAACTGTATTTGGCGGGTCAGAGACGTTAAGTCGTTGTAGGCCCACACAAGTATCGTGATTGGTTGAATGAAAAATCAAATCCTTTCCCGCACTGACGATGCAACCACAAAAACTTGATGATCAAAATCAACTGATCTGTCTTTGTCCCCTTCTAGTTATCTACTGAGGAAACCACGAGCCCAGAGACTAACTATGTGCTTCTCACCGAACTTACCGTTTATTCACTTTCCACGTGTGTACGAGTGTGATTCTTTTCATGTCAGTCAAACAGACGAAAAATAACGGTTACCAATTTGTACTGCTTTTTTTTTGAAAGAAGAAGTACTGTGAAGTCTGCCTCAAAAATTTTCATTATCCTGAAATCTCATGGAATATATAAAATGTTATAAATTTAAATTCTTATATAATTACAAAAATATTCTTTTATTATTTTATTTTTCAAAAAAAACTATATTTCATCCACCATTGTTGTCGAAATTCACAGTATATAATTTATGGAATTTGGTAATAATGTATGCATTTAATGAGTTCTAGAGTAATTGAAATTCTTCAGTGAGACTTCATCATAATTCTCCCTTTTCTTGGGCCAAATACTAATTTGTATTATTGAGTATTCTCAAGTGGATATGCCAGGATTAGCCCATATATATATATATATATATATAGTTATATCAAGTAAAATGAACTCCATGTTTCTTAAAAGATAAAGGTTCAAACTTTATGAATAAAAAAAAATCATATCATAGAATAATTCCATTTTGGTCAAGTAATGCTATGATTTGAGCCAGGAAGTTGTATTATATATTATATTGAATAATTAAATAAAATACATTAGTGACTTTTGAATGAATTTCGGTGGAGGTATTTGAATGATATTGTGGAGGTGGAGGGTTATGTGGGCAATGCTTCACTGAATTTTATTGACCTTTTGGAACAACCACGGTAAGATCCCAAAAGATTAATTGTCATAATAATAGTCAAGTTTTGGACAAAATTTTTAAAAATTAAATTAGAAATATTGATTTACATTATTACACGTTCATAAATATAAATTTCAATTAAAACCTAAAAGTTATATTAAAATTAAAATTAAAATCTATTTCTAAAATTTGTAATTCTATTTATTTTCAAAAAAAGTATTAATTTAATATTTGCATAAATGAAAGTGAAATCCTCCAAATTATATAAATGATAAGTTAGTCTTTCAAAATTTTATAATTTTATTGAAGTTTCTAGAACCTTCTATATCAATAAATTTTAAAGTGAAAAAACTATTTTATCTTTATTAAAGATAATAAACCTCAATCACAATTTCTATTTAAGGCATGATAAATTTTATTCTGTGAATCACAAGAATTAAATTAAAAATCACAACTTAATAACAAGCCCAAATCACAATTTTTGCTTAAAAAATAATAATTTTTATTTTGTGAATCGCAAAAATTAAATAAAAAATTATAATTTATTAAGTATAATTTTTATTATTAAAAATTAAGTTCTCAAAATAACAAGTCTCAATCACAATTTTTGTTTTCAAAATAATAACTTTTATTCGAATAATCGTAAAAATTGAATAAAAAATTATAACATATCAATAAAAGTAAAATAATAATTTTAATTTAAAATTTATTGATACAAAAGTCTTTAAAAATTTTAATATAATTATGATATTTTGAAATATTAAATTGTCATTTATATAATTAAAAAAATTTTATTATCATTTTTTTAATATTTTACCACCAACCTGTTACTTTCCCCATCGCTGTGGCAATACCATTTGCTATCATTCATCACATCACATGAGGCTAAAATAATATATCTTTGGCCCATCGGTTAAAATAAAACACTATGAGTATACAGACTGCCATTGTTGAACGTAGACCGGGAAAGAAGTTTCTACTTCCCACAAACCAATCTAACAAGAAAAATTGTAATTTTTTTTATCCCTTATAATGTTATTTTTTGTTGGGTTTTTCTTGTTTTATCTTATGAGGAATTCTTTATCATTGAAGTAACGCAAGAATAAAAGTTAAGGTAAAAGAATAAATTTTCTCTAAATTATAGTCTAGTAATATCTAAAATTCTAAACTCATTATTTATGTAATATGTCCCTCCAAATTTTAAAAGTGATGCAAGACTTCTATTTTTTAAAAAAAGTTAATTTTGACTATTAATTATCTGAAAAATGATAGAAATAGATCTTAAAAATCATAGAAAATGACAAAAAAATTATAGACAATAATTCAAAATATTACAGAAAAAAGATAAAAAAAATTAGTAGTCTTTTTCTATAAATTCAAAAAATAATTTATAAATAATAATATTTAAATTATTAAATATTAAAATATTTAATATTTTAATAATATTTATTAAATTTTATCTTAATAAAATTTTAGGATGCCTAACCCTCCACAAAAAAGAGTTTTAAAAAAAATTAACATTAAAGGATATAGTCAAAGTCCTACTTACCACTGCATGTGAGCCTTACATACATGTCATATTAGCAAAAAAAATAACAAAGTTAATGGATTTTTTGCTCCTCAAAAAAATAATTCAAAAAAAAAATTACCTCCACTTACTAATAAGAATACCCATGCTTCTTGAAAAATATTTAGGAATAATAAATGAACATTAACTCAATTAGAAAAACACCTTATTCTAAAAATAAAATTACAAAAATAATAACACATAAAATTTTATTTTATTAAAATGATGTAATTTTATTAAATAATCTATAAATGACATGGTGCATATATTCATGTACGAATTTCTCTTTTAAGACAACCTAATAAAGAGCCATAGCGTAAATGTTTTACCCTCACCCCAAAGAAGTGACTCCAGGATTTCTCATTGATCCTCCTTGACCATCTCAAGTTGTTTTAGATTACTTTCTATACGTTTAGCTTAAGAAGTCTTCCTCTGATTGATGATGTTGTGTTTTCTCTTTTACTTGCTTTCTAAAGGCCAGTGGGAAACACGTAAATCTTCCTGTTTCTTTTCTTTCTTTCTTTCTTTCTTCCTCATATATTCTTTTTCTTTTCTTTTTTGCCCCTCCACTTTGTGCATATTTACTTTGTAAAGCTCACTTCTTCTTTACGGTAATCCTCAGGAAACTTCCAAGTCATACGCAGATGTAGAATTTTTTGTTGTCATTAAACTCAAGTGACTTGAAAGATTTGGTAATCATTAACTGCCCCAGCTCTCATAATCACAGACATATATATTGACGCATGGAAATAAGCAAGAACAGAACATGCTCTGTTCACCTCTATTTTAAAAAGGAAAAAGCAGAGCCAGTTTAAAAAAAATTCTAAATTATTATTATTATTATTATTTAAATGAATTTTCCGCCATCCAACGTTCTGACTGCACCGCTGATTGTTTCATTGATTTTTTTTTTTTTTGAGCAGAGCTGATTGTTTCATTGTTGACTGGGATAAAATACTCTGAAAATACAAATCTAAAGTGATTAAATAATCATTTATTTTATCAATGTAATTGTCATTAATGAAAATATAAAAGCTTGTTTAAAATTATTTTTTTTTATTCTGATAACTAGTGTTTTACATAACATGGTTTGAAAGAAAAAAAAATTTAAAAAAAACTTGGTTGAATAATTGTTCTGAAAAATGATATCTTAGAATTAAAAAATGAAAAAAAAATTGTTTGATAAATTACTCTAAAAATATGTTTTGAAAATGAAAAAAATAAAAAAAAAACTGTTTGATTAGCCTGTTTTACCAAATTAATATTGATATATACTCCCTCCGATCCTATTTATACGTTATATTTACTAACCTCACCAATACTAATACAACAACAGTATAAAGAATAATTATAAATGAAATTTCAAAACTAACCTTCAAATAAAAAACTAAAAAATAATCCAAACAATATAATATTATTTTTTAAATAATTCTCTCTCATAGTACTTTACAAAAAAGTCTGTCAGTAAAATAAAGGTTGTTAGCTTTACTTGGCGGGAAGGCCAAAATGAAATTGGTGGGGGGGATTTTTGGCCAATTACATTCTTATAAAAATGCCAGAAAAAATAGATTGAGCAAAAGAACAAAAACGCACGGGACCACAATATTCTTCAGCTTTCTACCCTGCCTTCCACCATGGAAAATTACTGCATGCCTTTTGATTTAAATGCTCCAGCTGAGGAAGATGGTGGGGATAGTAGCAACAGTTTCTTGAACTTAAATGCTCCTTCCATGTGTGAGAATATCTACCTAGACAACAATCAAAGTGAAAACCAACATGTAATCAATGAAGAAAGAAATGGTAAGAATATTTATGTTTATGAAATTTAAAGTATCTCCATGTAAAATTTAACTTTTTAGTATCTATGTTCAGTTGCTAAGAAAAATAAAGCTATCCAAATATAATCTATTTAAGAGTAATAATCACCTTTCATACATTTTAAACATTTCAAAGCCTCTTAATACCTCAGCCAGCCTATCATAGATGTCCACATGCTTATTAAGAAAATAGATGTCCACATCAAAAATATTAAAAGCTTTTTAAACATTCCAAGGCCCCTTAATACCTTAGTTAACGTGCTTATTAACAGCTTTTCACATACGTAGATAGAATCTCTCAAGTAAAATGGTAATATGACAAATCAGAAATGATAATTTTAACATTATTGGTTGGACTTTTCCTGATTATTTTGTAGGAGGGTCCCATGGATTAGAAATGATAATAATCAAGCTTTCACCATGCAAAATGACACTTGGGAAAGAGGCTTTTCAGTCCTAAATCTAGCTTGGGACAAGCATGCATATATACAAGAATAATAGGTAGAAATATGCCTAGTTAAGCTAAGCTTGATGGAAATTGAAAAGCTTTTGTATGTGGTTCTAAGAGTAGTGTCTTGTTGGGTATAGTGATAATATTCTCTTGCTAGTTAGCATATAATTTGAATAGAAGGATATAAATAGAAAATCAAAAAATTTACAAAAATATGAAAGTACTTCCATTAAATCTTAAATTATAAGTAATTCAAAACAGAAATTTCTTTTCTTTTCTTTTCTCTTTTGCCCCTCCACTTTGTGCATATTTACTTTGTAAAGCTCACTTCTTCTTTACGGTAATCCTCGGGAAACTTCCAAGTCATACGCAGATGTAGAATTTTCTGTTGTCATTAAACTCAAGTGACTTGAAAGATTTGGTAATCATTAACTGCCCCAGCTCTCATAATCACAGACATATATATTGACGCATGGAAATAAGCAAGAACAGAACATGCTCTGTTCTCCTCTATTTTAAAAAGGAGAAAACAGAGCCAGTTTTAAAAAAAATTCTAAATTATTATTATTATTATTATTTAAATGAATTTTCCGCCATCTAAGGTTCTGGCTGCACCGCTGATTGTTTCATTGTTAATTGGAATAAAATACTCTAAAAAAACATATCTAAAGTGATGAAATAATCATTTATTTTATTAATGTAATTGTCATTAATGAAAATATAAAAGCTTGTTTAAAATTATTTTTGTTTTTTTATTCTGATAACTGGTGTTTTACATAACATGTTTTGAAAGCAAAAAACTTTAAAAAAAAAACTTGTTTGAATAATTGTTCTCAAAAATGATATCTTAGAATTAAAAAATGAAAAAAAAAATTGTTTGATAAATTACTCTAAAAATATGTTTTGAAAATGAAAAATTAAAAAAAAAACTGCTCGATTAACCTGTTTTACCAAATTAATATTGATGTATATTTTTATAATTATTTAACATTACATTTAGTTATAAAATTTTAATAAATATTAAATAACATTAGTAACTTTGGTATCTTTTCCCTCCATGGCTGGATGTCCAATTATATTACATGATAAGAACTCGGTGGCAACGTTGCCAACTAGGTGCTTCGTCTAAGAATTTGAGCAAACATGCATCAGATTTTTTTGTTTTTTTTTTAATAGAAGGCAACGAAAAAACCATGCAGATAGACAGATTACGTTATATCAGTATATAAAAAGTTTCTACAACCAAAAAATGAACTGTCAGAAATTTGAACAATTGAATTGTCAGGAAATGTTTGATAGGTCATTCAATCTATATATTTGTTAACCTCTCTGAAAAAGTGATAAAAAATGATTGACCAACCACTCATGCATTAGATTTTGACATGTCGATGTACCAATAGGCATGGAGTCTATACGGCAAGGTTTCCCACGGCAAAAGTATGAATTTACTTGGACAAATATCAAGTATGGATCTATTTTTTTGCAGAATAAAAAGAAATAAGATATAAAAAAGACGTCATGATTTTTTAGTTTTTCAAAACAACTTTTAACTTTTTTTTTATTTCAGATAATATAACCAAAAACATATTTTTAAATAAGTTTTTTCGTTTTTGAAATCAAAAAAACTATTGTGAAAACCAGTAATCAAACATGTCCTTGATTTTCACAGGCAAAATAATAATAGAAAAACAAGTCAATTCATTCATCTTAGCTTCAATGTTCCTATGCGTGTAATGAGTCGGTACCATTTTGGAGAATAATAAAAGAACACTTTTATTTTTATTTTTTATTTTTTCAGAATATATAACTGAAAGCGCATTTTCAAACAAATTTATTTTTTCATTTTTGAAAAAAAAAATTGTCCTGAAAAAAGTAATCGTCCTTAATTTTTGTATGTAAAAGTAATAAAAGGAAAATAAGTCAAGCCATTCATATTGGCATGGATGCAGGTCCTATGTACGAAACGAGGTGCTACCATTTTGGAGAATAATAAAAGCAGCACAGTCACATGTCATCAACGTACGTAGTGAAAACAACAACAAAAAGTCATTCAGCTACTGAATCTGGTGGGAAATAGAATGGAAAAATAACGTCACAAGAAGTATAGAATGCAGGAATCACAATCGACAAGTTCTGAAAGAAAACAAACACTCTTAGTCTTGCCACATATGTTTCACAAGTTGTTACACCCAAAATTCAGGTTATGTTCAAAGCAAACAATCAAAAGCATCAAGACAGATTTTTGTCAGCACTGTTCTGCTCAAACTGGCTGCACAAGGCAGACCATTCATGAACAACCTGAAACAGTTGGTGTCGAGCATTTCTTTGATCTTCCTCCATCTCCAACTTTGCTTTCCTCACAGTCTCAAATTCCTTCTTGAACTCTACTGTTTCTGCAACACATTTCCTCTTTTGCTCTTCAAGAGACCATAGCTCTGCCTCACATTCTCTTCTCTCCTTTTCCAACCTCAAGAAAGTGCTTTAGGTGGAGAAATATCCAAAGGATTGATTGGTGATGTTGGCATCATTCTAGACATCTCTAAACCATGTGTTGCTTCATTGAGACTCTTATGTGAAGCGTCAAATATTAAAAGAAGTGATTAAATGATATCACAAGTATGAAAAGAAATAAGTCCAAAACATGGGGTAATGAGATTGCATATAACTTTGTCAGTTCATCCCCTGTGGTATCAACAATAGGATTGGTCTTAGTGCCTTGTTCCGTACTTGGTTAGTTGACCTTAGTTTTTCCCAGAACGAAGTAAACAAAATAAATAGGAAAAGAAAGAACGGCCTTAAGGTATACATTATTACATCACTAAAACAATTCATAAGCTAAAAGGACTATTGGCATTAATAAAAGAACATATATATCTCCTTTAATTATACAGAACAGCAAAATATCTACCTTTATCTGTTCATCTCTTTCAGTATCAGCAGCAAAAGCACATTGTGCTGGAGGTTCACCACCACCATCTTCAATATCTATCTCAGTTTTATTGATCTTCAAGTGCTTCCAAATGCAATAAGAACATAAATTAAGAATGAACATTGGCTTCAGTTACAGCAGCAAACATGAAGTAGCAACTTCTCCTTTTCATCTTTTGATTGGACAGTAAGTTATGTATAATTTAAATTAAATATGAATAACAATGAAGTCATAAAAGTTCAAACAAGTATTCTCAGTTCATGGAATAAACTCCATTGGCATCGCTGCTGTAGAGGAAAATGATAATAAGTAGTTAATTCTTTGAGAAATTTTATTATTAGTCATTAGCATATGCTCCTACATCTATCATAAAAGTAGCAGAATAATTAGTTCACAATTGCTTAGTAATAAACTCATATATATTCCATCTATATGATTTGTATTGCAATATACTTTAAGGAATGAAAACTAACAACCAGCTAATTCGAGGACTAGGGACAAATTTCCAGTGTCATATATATGCTGGAAAGAAGAGTATAATATAACTTTGTTCCAAGTGTTCATATAAGATTACAAGCATTCTTAGAAAGCTTACAGGTGAAAATTCTATAGGAATAGAAGCAGCTGATGAACTTTGGAGTGAGCTTGTCGGGTCAGAATGAGTTGACGATGCAATTATTGTCACATTTTTTGACTCAGAACTTTCATCAAAGCTACCTTCAACTCTCTGTGCATTCAAAAATCATGTAACTTTATTAAGTCAAATATATATTCGTATAGTGAATGTACCATGGCAGAGTTGTTCTTACCTTTCTCTTTGTTAACTTTGTATCTTGGGCACTTCGACCTTTTGACTCTTCATCATTCTATATGGCAGAGAAACTTAAGTAAGTTGTTGTCTGTAGCATCACAAGCGTAATGATGTGTGATAAGCACTACTTTACAGGATGGATAATTCCTAAGATATATTCATACCTCCGCTGATTTCTTTTCATTATTCTGAGCTCCTAAAATATCATGTTCACTCCTTGATGCTGATTCAACTTCAGTTTTTTTGCCATCAATTTGTTCGGTGGTTTCTCCTCCACAATCTTCATTGGATTCAATAATTTCTCGTAAAGGATGGTTCAGCATCCAACTGAGATCACAATCATCTATTTTGTTTAAAAAAATTTGTTAAAACTAGCAATTGTGTGAAAATAAAATGCATCCATATATGAAAACTGATTATAATTTTTTTTTAAGTTTACATAATATAAATATGCGATACTTCATGTATAGATGCTCACATATCATATAAATAATACCTTGAGTAGTGAAAGAATTGACTTACAATTAACTTATCAAAAAAGTAATGCTAAAATGTTCATAGGCACAGATTAAGGTTAAGTAATCTCACCTCATCGTTAATTTCTTCATGAGGCTATCCTCAAAACCATTTTAATTTTCATATATAACCAAAAACACCTGACAACATAAAACATAGAAAGTAGGAAAAGACAAACAAGACTCCACTTATTTTAACATTGGGTCCACCTTTAGCAAACAATGAAACACTACTAGTTCACCCCAATACAAGTACTAGAAGAATCAAAATACAAGTATCCACTAGATTGTACCTTTTTCATTGTCTAATATCTGTAGCAACTGCTGAGGATTAACAGTGGAAGTGAGAGGCAGTCTTGGGCATTGTTGAACAAGGTATATCACACTCTGCAAATCAAAATGTTGGCCTTGATAGGGAGAGAGTGTAGGAAGTTTCAAAAGCATTACATATTCCACATTTGGAATCAAATTCCAATGCACTTGCTCTAGTTGGGATGCTTCTTCTATCAATAAAGCCCTTAGTTTGGGAAGCACTTGACAAATGGAGATGGGGAATAAACTCATCAACTTACGGCATTGTCTAATGATGATAATGGTCAGATTTGGGAAGACAAGTTGACAAGGATTTGACACATTTTCATTTTCTTCCATGATTCCTTCTAGTTCATTACACTTCTGGATGCTCAATTTCTTCAACTTTGGCAGGCTTGTCAAGATAGATGCAGGGAAGATAACACTGAAATTTTCACATCCTTTTATGTATAAGCTGACAAGACTTTGAAGGAGTAAACTATTTTTGGGACCCCTCCATATGTCGCTTAACTCTGGTAGATCAACTAATTCTATCATTTGTAAGCTTGAGTTCACTAGTTGTCCATCGTTTGGAATCCTTTCCCCATCAAAAAGAATTTCCATTTCATTGTTACTTCCCACATAAACTTTATTTAAAGTTACGAGTGGGGTCAACAGGTCCTACAAAAGTAGACATGCAAGTGCAAAAACATATGACATTTATCAGCCAAAAAAAAGAAATCTTGCCTTTCTACAATGAATAAATTGACTTCATCCAGAAGTAAATGAAAATTTTACTTTAAACTCATGCTTAACTTTATAACTCCATTGACTTCCTAATAATAATCAAAATATAAACAAAGAGAAAAAATAGAGACAGTATTATTAGTACCTCTAAAGTTGCGTGATTATCCTCTTTTCTCAATCCACATATGCCAATCCACTAATTGATGGACTTGATCTTTAATTGTGGAACATTTTGCACCCTCAATTCTTTCAAAGATGGCCATTGTAAATGATAATTTTCCGGACAAATGCTTACCATGTTTGGCACGTCAAAGAGATAGAGAGTATTTAAAGCCAAAAACTGAACGTTATCAAACTCATCTAGATTTGGATCTTCATAAATGCATGGGCTGAACAAGCTCTTCAATTTATTAGCTTCTGCGATGGATAAACATTCCAATTGTGCAAGACTATGAGCTAAAGAGACCGGCATTAAGTATTCTAGTTGACCACACCCAGTGATTATGAGTCTTTTTAATTTGGGAAATGCAAATCTGATGCTCCTTTGATATTTACTACCATCAGCAACTATCTCTTTCACTTCATCTGCTATTATATGCTCAAGTGAATCACAATTATATATCTCTAAGAACTCTAACTTCGCAAAAAGGCCTGAAGGAACCTGGCCACGACACAAAGTTCTCAAATTCTTCAACCCTTTAATGGTTAGTTCAGTCAAATTGGAGATGACTCCCATTGGACCCCAATGATGTGTTGTGTCAATCACGCATTCTAGTGTCTGAATGAAACATTGCAAGGTGTGTCAAAGCATCAAAATTCCCTCCTATTGTTTGAAGCGTGTGAGGTATTATATTTTTACAACTTTTGTGAATTCCCCCCAAATAAAGGACCTCTGCTCTTTGCATCAAATCCTTAATTGTTGCATTTGACATGCATTTCTCAACATCTTTCACATATAAACTTTTTGAAATAGGAAACATTAACCGGTAGAAGTCATTCTTATCATCCCCTAAATCTATACAATAGCTCTACAATGTTGGCGTAGCTCTTATTTTATCAAAGAACTCAGCACCATCTTTACCTTGGTCCTCCCATTCTCCAACATTATTTTGACAAAAATATAGAACTTCTAAGTTGGAACATCTTCCCATTACTTCATAAGGATTTCTTTGGATTTTGCAATGCCATATATCTAATAATCTTAAATTTTTCTGTTGTGCAATGAGTTTTGGCAATTCATCGAAGGAACATCCCCATAATTTAAGAGACTCAAGTCTCTTTAGGCTTCCTATAAAAGAGATATCACCTAATATCCATCATCGCAGGTATAGATAATGGAGATTATTGACATGATTGAGTGAAATAGGCAATTGCAAAACTTAACCTTCTCAAGAAAGATTTCTCAACATCAAAACTCTAAGCATCCCCATACCATTAAAAATATCATTTGGTACATCCACACCATGCTTGGACTTTGTAGATACAAAAAGAAACTCAAGTTTAGGGCAATCCAACTTATGTGGAAATTCGTCAACTTCATCAAACCATAAATATCTCAATTTGACATCCTTTATTATCACATCCTCTTTTAGTTGTCCCTTAACAAACTTATTCTGTTTCTTTTGCTATCCATAGGCCTACATCACGAACCAAATCATGCCATTTGACACAACCACTAGTTCCATCTATTAGCAAACAAGAATCCATAAGCTTATTTTTTCCTTTAATAAGTACTTGGTTCCTTGCCCTTTGGTATGAGTGAACTTCAACAAAACCTAGCCCTACTCCAATCATCGTTAATTCATCAATTGGAATTTCATAATCTTCAGGAAATACAGAACACAACAAGAGAAGTGACTTGGCTACTTCATTTTCTAGCTTATCATAGCTTAATTGAAGACAAGTATAGGGGTTTCTTGAATCTTCTTCAAAATCAACTAGACTTGAATCTCTGAAGTTTTTTAGTGCTTCTTCCCACTCAAATTCAGGTTTTCCTTTCAACATGCTACCCACAACAGCAATTGCAATAGGTAAACCACCACATTCTTTTGTAATTTCTTGTGCCAAACCTTTGATGGAAATTGAGTTATCATCAAATGCCCCTGCATGTTTTTGAAAGAGGCCTCACGCTTCATCCTCTTTTAATCCCTACAAGGGAATCATTCTTTTGCAATTCATTCGTCTACATACATCAACGTTTCTCGTTGATATAAGAACAGTGCAACTCTTTCCATCTTCAACAACAAGAATCCCTATCCTCTCAAACTCAAGCGTCCTCCATACATCATCCAAAATAATTAGAAACTTTACTCCACCAGTCAACCTCATTGACAAGCGTCTAGCTCTTCCCAATCCCCCCTCCTCTTCCAATTTCATATTATCAAGCTGGCTTGCTATTTCACTTTGAATTTTTCTAACGTCAATAGTGTTGGACACAACAACAAAGATGACTTTATCAAAAAATTGCACAGCTTCTTTACCCACTTTTTTGCCACATCCCCCCATGCCATACAATCCAACCATGTGAACTTGTTCATCTTTTATTGCCTCTATAAGTCTATCATATGCCACTTGCCTACTCTCAAAGCACACAAAACCTTCAGAAGGAAAGTAGTCCATGCCTACCAATGTAGCAAGTCGAGAAAAATGTGAGAAATTACTTTGATTAATGTGTCGTTTAATTTCATTGGTCTTTTCTTCAAGCTACTTTGCCAAACTATAATGCCTAATCAAGCCAAGGCGGTACTTAAAACAAGATGTCTTATTTTTGTCCATTGTTTTTTCTTGCAACACCACCACTTTCCTATTAAAGCGTCTGCTTCATCCAACCATGTTTGAACTTCCCTAACAACCGTCTCAGTTTTTATCTTTGCCTCTTTAGCTCAATCAAGAACACCTCCGATTTTGGATTCCAAATTATGCTGTTCTGTTTCAAGCTCTTTGATATACTTGGTGAAGCATAAAGAATAAGAAGCTTCATGTATCGTGGCATCCACTAGCTTTCTCAAAATATCAGTTACAACAGAGACAAAAGTGTCCATTTCCTCTGAAATTGTTATAGCTACAAGATATGAGATAATCATAATATTTAAAATGCCCTGAAAATAAATCTTTAGCATCTAACATAATTAAACACATCAAATTTTATAGAGAAAATTTTTTAAAACCAATCATAATTAGGAATCATGCTTGATTTAATTCACAATAAACAAAGACATGAAAAAATAAAATTCCTCCCATGATCACAATATTATATTATCTTTAATTTGGTAAATATAGAAAGAACTTTTTAGCCTCAATTCATTTGTCATGAACAATAGGACTTCTCACATTTTGAGCAAGTAATTCAAGGTTTGATTCCCGAACACTATTTATGAAATAAGTTTAGCTGGAAGAGAGGTACCATTTGGCCTTTATATCCTAAAAATGAATAGTCTCTTGATAGAAAAAACTCCTAGACTCATAAAAGAAAAAACATAAACGATAACTTTCTTTTAAAAAAAATTATGCTTTCTAAAATCAAATCAAGAATATTTTTGTTGTAATTTAAGAGTGAGTGATAAATTTACTAAAACCATCAATAATTTCTTTTTCAATTAGTTTTCGAAACAAAATGGCATCAAAAATCAAAGAGAAAATTTAATTGTAAGTGTCAAAAGTAGAGCTAGTAATCAAGGTGAGTCAAGTTTATTTGAGTCGGTCTTAAAATACTCAAACAAGTAAAAAAAACCTATATAGTCAAACCCAGTGCTAATATCTCGAGCTTATTCAAGCTGGACTGAATACCTAAATTATCAAATCTTTTTTTTTTGGAGCCAATGTCAATTTTCACCTCAAAAAATTAAGATTCTTTAAGCAACATAACGCTACAACACATAGCTTTTCTGCCTTTATTATAGTAAAAATGAAAGTATATGAAGTAACCTCTCATGTTTATTTTTCCTTAAAATTTTCAAAAAGATTAAAAACAAAATATTATTGGAATATTGAAACTTTATTTAGGAGTGCAAAGCATGCGAACTCACAATTCGAGATAGGGTTTGAGTGAGAAATGAAGGTTAAAATAAAGGAAAATTTTCATCTAAGGACTGCAACAGCCATTTATTTACAAATTAGATGCAAAAATCCCAAAATTACACTGTAGGATTTTGGAAATGAAATGAAATAAAATGCAGAAGCAAAGTGACCAAAATGTCCTTCTTGAATGATACTGACAAATTAACTTTACTTGTAAAATCTCAAATATTACATATTAATTCCCTTTTGTTGCTTGTTAAATCCATAACATTATTTGTATATTATCTAACTTTTGTCCATTTGTGACTTGTTAAATTGTTAATTTTAATTGTAAAAATGTTAACATGACTTGTTAATTCTCATGTTACTTGTTATGTCCATAACTTTACTTCAACATTATATAACTTGTTAAATCCATTCACTACGACTTGTTAAGTTATTAATTTTACTTGTAAAATAGTTAATATTACTTGTTAATTTTCTTGTGTTACTTATTAAGTCCATGACAATACTTATACATTTATATCTAACTTGAGTTAAATCCATCAATCATAACTTGTTAAATTATCAACTTTACTTGTAAATTTGCTAACATTACTTGTTAATCTTCTTATATTACTTGTTAAGTCCATAACGTTATTTGTTTTTAAACATTAGGACAATTTGGTCATTTCACACCAAAAATTTATTTCAATTAGGTTCTCTGAAATTTCAGAGTTTTTTGGTTGCAATTTGTAAATAAATAGCTACTATGGCCCTTAGATGAAATCCTCACTAAATTAAATGTTAATTTTATTTTGTTAATTAAAAAAAAAGAATTTAGGTTATCGGGCCAATCTCATTCAAATTCAAGCTTATTCAGGTGAATAAAGAAAATTTCTAAAATCATAAGCCTGGTGCTAAAATTTTTGAATTCATTCAAGTTGGTCAATCAAACTTGACCCAAATTATTGGCCATAATCAAAAGTATGGTAACAACAACAGTACTATAACAAAAATAATAATAATAATCTATGGGAACTTTTTTTCTCACTCACAGAGCACTTCAAAAGCACTCCCTATCCATGGATCCAATTTCTAAAAGAACCTAAATCTCCTCAATTGAGGATCTTCAATTGAATGTATTATGATTGAAATTCAAACTGGGGAGTTTAAATTTTGAGTTTTTTCATTATACTTCTTTTGTTGTGCAAATATAGAATAAAAATAATATGTTAACTAAGAACTTCAAAAATATTTAATAAAGTTAACAAAAATAAAAGCCTAAGAAGCTAAATCAAATTTAGATACAGCTCTAATTTTATAAATTTTTGAATTGAGGAGATCCAAATCTGAATGGAGATAGCATTCTGACATAAATTTATTATAAATATAAAATAAATTACGAAAAAGAAAATGCCTAATTTGGATGTGAACCCCACATACTTTGAGTGATAGATAAATAATTTTTCTATTTTTGAAAATTTGACAATAAATCCTTCTTTTTTTTATAGGACAAAAAATAAGCTCCATCAATAGAAATTATTTCCCTCAAGTTACTAACTGCAAAGGATGGACCTCTTTCTACTAATTTGTTACATACATAAAGACTGAAATTTGAACCCCTACCACTTTTTAAGTGATGAGAACCCCAACCACTCACTCCAACTTTAGTTGTTGACAATAAATCCTTCTAAACTACAAAGTTATGAGAAAACTTATTTACCTTACCATCTAATATTTCACTAATTGAATATAAAATGATGGAAGATTTATTTTCACAAGACTTAAAGTTTAAGGGGTTAAGTAGCACATAACACAATGCTTATGGGATTATTTGTGTAGAATAAAATTAAATTTTTAAATGATTGTCAATATGCTCTATTCATAAAATAATGAATTGATCAGCAATAGATATTGGTCCTAGTGAAAGGGACTGCTTAAGCATAAGGTTTCAAGTTCAAATCTATATGAATGCAAAAAATATCCTAGGGAGAACTACTCCTCGTTAGGCTTAGGCTCAACAATATTTAAATTTGACACAATTAGATAGCTATATAAAAATAAAAAAAAATCAACTAATTAATAGCAAAACAAGTTGCCATAAATCTTCATTAATTTAGGGAACTCCTTGAATTTCAAAGAAAAGAAAGTACCTCTATGTATAATGACAAAAATTTATCCTGTTAAACAATTCACTTAGCTAAACCTTTTCGTACCCAAGAACATGAAGAGTGAAAAATAAAATTAAAATTGCAAAAAAAAAAAGATTAAAATTAATTGACAAAAACTGTGTAAGAGTTTTAAACCTATGCCTTGACTGAAATCTCCTGAGTGGGAAAATTGTTCCTTTAAAATCAAGAAATATAGATCTAAGTATATGAATTGGTTTGAATCAAATTTAACATTGAAGATCAAAAATTAAGAATTGGAGCATGTATCAGAAACTGAAAAACTCACCAACAAATTAAATCAAACAAAAGCTAACCAGACTTGGGCCTTCCTTTCCAAAGCAAGCTTTCTCCGCGCCTTGAACGAAAGCACCAGCTTCAGTGATCTCTCACTCTTACACTTTCATAACTCCAAGCTTTAACTAGAGAGTCTACGAGTACAGAGTCTTGGTCTCCTTAATTTAATGCTATTTTAAAATATATATATACACACACACACAGAGCTGTAATCATCTGTTATATATTATTAATTGACCTTGCTAATATTGTGGAACAAATTGGTGATTATATATGCTCAATAATACCATTTCGGAACAAGCAGATTGACTTCAGGGTTAAAGTTAAACTATGATTTGCTTAAAAAATTTGCCCTATGATTAACTATTTGCTTAAAAAAATTGATTAATAGGCTCTGATGACACTAACATTTGGCGTGTTAGGAACATGAAAATGCTAACTGATTGGTATATAAAATGCAATACCTAACACCAGTATGTCACTGGCCATTTGATAATTTTTTAAAATTCTAATTGGATGTACGGATGAAAGAACTCGCCGATACTATATTGCCACTTGGCAATACAATATTTTCTCTCTTCGTTTTTCATAATGTCACATTAGTCAGTGCATATACATTCAAGAAAACATTATGGTTAAAAATTCAAGAATTACAACAGCAATAGTTAAAATTTAAATAGATCTTCCAAGAAAATAAACACTGAAATAAGTTATCACTGACACTTGCAAATTATTAAAATCATTCTCATTGTAATGCCAAAAATATTAATTATTCATAATAAATGAATTTCCATGTAGCTAACCCTAGCTATTATTATTGTATTATAAATGAATTTGTTAAACAATAATTATTTTCCTATTAAATTGTATTTTATCCTTTTAGATAATTATTAAGGGTATTCTAGTTGTTTTTTGAAATTTTGGAAAAAGGCTTTTATAAATTATCACATATTAGCTTATAAATAACAAATACAATACTCAAGTTATAAATTTTTAGAGTTAAATTTAAATTATTAGTCCAGAAGTATCTAGAATCTTAAATATGTTTTTTTTTATACATTTTTATTCCTAAACATTTAAAATCATGACAATCATCTCCTATCAAAAATTGAAAAAAAATGTCAATTGCATTAATAACGTGAGCCCAAACATTCAAACACATGGCCTTTAGTTTGGTCATGGTGTAGTGCCATGCATCAGTCTGGGCTCCACGCTATTAAAGTGACAGTGATACATTTTCTCAATTTTAGCTTAAGGGGAGATTGCTACCACTTTAAATGTTCAAGAGTGAAAATATATAAAAAAAAAAAATAAGTTTAGAATTTCAAATGTTACTAAGCTGTAACTCAAAAGTTAGATTGTCATTTTATGCTAAATTTTTATATAATTTATAAATTGGAAAAATATCAATTGAGGACCACTTGAGATATTTTATATCAAAGAAGGATTTTAAAATTTTGATTTTTCATTGCACCCCCTTCATCCTTAGTTGAAAGTATTTTTTTATGGGAAATGACTAATTTCCCCTCTTAATGAAAGAGAAACAACTAAAGAAGCATTGGTTGTTAATGTCCGAATATATTGTCATCAATCATAAATTGGTTGTTGTCAAACCTGAATTACTTGTTTATGTAGGATGAACACTTGTTCTATTAAACTCATGCTGTCTGTTGTTCAATCTTGTTAATATCCAAATGTATTGTTATCAATCATGAATTGATTGTTTCCAAAATTCAAATGACTTGTTGTTTATGTCGGGTGAACATTTTTTCCATTTAACTTGTGCTGTCAATTTTTCAACATAGTTAAATTTTAAATATGTTGTTGTTAATTACGAATTGGTCGATGTCAAAACTCAAATAGCTTATTATTTATGCAAGGTGAAGAAGACTTGTTCAATTAAACATGTGCTTTCAATTTTTCAATATTGTTAAATTCTGAATGTATTATTGTCAATCACAAATTAGTTATCATCAAAATTCGAATGGTTATTTGTTTATACAAGATGAACACTTATTCTATTAAATTTGTATTGTCAGTTTTTCAATTTTGCTAAATTTTGAATGTGTTGTTATTATTTACAAATTGATTGTTTTTAAAACTCAAATGACTTATTGTTAATGTAGGTGAACACTTGTTATTTTAAATTTTATAGGTAATTTAGTCATTTTTCATAAAAACTTATTGTCAGATAAGGAAGCATAGGGCTGAAAAATCATAATCTTAAAGGTCCTTTTTTTTTAATATAAAATACCTCCGGGTGCAACTTTGGTAATATTTTGTCTTACAAATTTTAAAAGTTAGACAAGTTAATTGTGTGTGATCCAAATAATACAAGAATTTCCATCATTTAAATTTTTATCTTCAGAGTCAGAGGTCGGTGGCGGAGAAATCTTAGCTCCTTGGGGAAAGTCGGCAGCCAGTTATGCTTCGGCAGGCAAGCCTTCATCATCAAGGACAGTCCATGTGGAGTAAAAGAACGCAAGACACGGCAGTTCATAAAATGCTCAATTGCTATTATGTTGAATGCATCAGTTTCGCAGAAAGTTGAATGGAAAAAAGACGAGGAGAATTCATCACCTCAGTTCTGATGAAAATATATATGTATGTATATGTATATGTATATGTATATATGTATATATCATTTAATTTTTTATTAAAAATAATATTATTATTATTTAAAATTAAATTATTAAACATTAAAGTATTAATATTTTAATATTATATTATAAAAATATATATAATGTTTTTAATTATTTAACATTATTACCATCAATCATGTAACTCGACTTATATGGGCTAAAGCCCAAAAAATTTTTTAACCCAAAATTAGTTTTTTAAAGTGAAATATAATTATTGATCTTAATAGTTTTATTAATTTTTATTTTTAATCCTTATAATTTTTTAGTATTTTTATTATATATAATTTTAGCAAGATTAGGTGTTTTTTGTTACTTAAGTCCTTATGACTTTAGTGTTTTTAGTGATTTAGTCCTTATAAGGAATGAAACCATTGAGAAAAAATTGTAGTGATTAAAAGTAAAATTTGATAAAATTATAGAACCAATAATTGTTTTTTTTATTTTTTATTTTAAGTTCAGTGCTTCCTTTTTTTTTGCCAACATACAAATTAATTGATTCAATGTTAGACTTGAAAGCATATTTTAATTTTACAAATTAAGTTTTTCATTGTAATATTATATAGTTAATCTCTAAAATTAAAATCAAAATATTTTAAAATTTAAAATAAATAATATACATCTTAATTTTAAAATATAGATGTATATTTTAAAACTTAATTTTAATCTAAAGATATAAACTACAACAATTTCATTATTAAATGAATAATCCAAGTTCAAGCCCATTTTTTTAGGTTGAAATGATAGGGCTTTGGAATCTTTTTATACTAAAATATCCATTATCCAATTATCTCAGTTTTGCTGAGAGAATTCGATTCTTTGTTTTGCTCACTTATCATGGAAGATTGCTTGCTAACGTTTGGAGAAGTTTGTGGGCAAACTATTCCTCTCCTTGTTCATGGTGTGAATTAGCTGAGGAAGACATCCTCCATGGTTTCAGGGATTATGATTATGCTAAGCAGATTTTGTGCAAACTAGTACCATAATCACAACCTACAATTTTTCTCTCTAACTTTAAGGGAATGGATTTCTTGGAACCTTAAGCCAAATCTTATTCATAGAATTTCGACTAACTGGAGTTTATTGTGGGACGTAATGTAACTATTTGGAAACCATGAAAGTGGACGAATTGCTTTATCTTTCAACTTGATTTTAACTAGCCAGCAAATCCATTAGCTAACATTCTTAATACATGGAAATCGTATGTAAGCCATGAGGAGTCTAACTTAGTGCATGATACTTCAAATGTTATGTCTCCAACCCTGGCAAACCCCTCCAAGAGATTATGTGAAAGTCAACACTAATGGTGCTGTTTCGGCCAATTTAAATAAAACAAGATGTGGAGTAACATCTCAATTTAAATTTTAATAGTTAATTTGAGTTAATAAAAATTAAAAAAAATAATATTTAGAGGTAAGAAAATTAGTAAGAGATGATTATTAAATCTAACTTAGGATATAATTCTAAAAAAAAATTTTTAAAAAAATTAATTTAAAAAAAATAATAAAAAAAATTAATTTAAAAAAATATTATTAAATTATTATTATAATAAAAAAAAGGAAAAACGTATTAAAAAAAAAAGAGAGGAAGAAGAAGAAGAACAAATGACTTTCGGCGTTCCGCGTGCCAAAGTCATAAGAGATCACATAGGCTTGTGGATTGCTAGCTTTTCTCATGCTCTAGGAAGCTGTGGTCCTTTTGAAGTGGAAGAATGGGCTGTACTACGAGGCCTTCGACTAGCATGGGATATGGATTTCAAAAAAATTATTGTTGAGTCTAATTATAAGAGTTTGGTGGATTTAATCAATGGGCAACACTATGAGCCGAATAGAGGAAGTTTAGTTTTTCTATAAATTTGGTCTCTCCTCCAATTTAATTGGAATGTCCAAGTGAATTATATTTCCAAGGAGAAGAATAGGGTGCAGACCTGTTGGCTAAAGAGGGCATTTCTATCTCTTCCAATTTTAATTCAGCTCCCTCTTTTGAGGGAATTAGTGCAAAAAGATTATTTGGGATTTCAATCCCCTCTTGATGTTTATTGTTTTAATGTAATTTGGGTTTGCCCTCTTTTCTATCGGGGAAAAAAAAGAATTACATCAATTTTCAAAGTCTAAGGCCAAATAAAAAGTGCTTAAATGGGTAGCTTAAAATTCCAAATCATATTTTTGACCCTATTTGATAAATATCTAATACTGGTCAAAACTTAAACTAATAGATTAAAAGTGGAACACTCCTTAAAGTGGTGTGAGCAGTTACTTCCCCACCTAGCAAGAAAATTCAAATTCAAATGGAGAGCAGCCACTCTCATCAAATAAAAGAAGGCACTCCCAAGATTTAAGAACTCAAATTTAAAACTCTTAGATAAATTAATTTAACTTTTTAAACTAATTAAAACAAGCAACCTTTAATTGTGTTCCCTAATATTATGTTACCTTTTCAAGCGATGCAAATTACTTTCATGTGATTTACTTACTCAGAACTTATATTAGTTTAAGTACTTTAAAGAAATTGCTGTAAAAAATCTTGGGAACTTACGATCACTAACATATGCATACATTGAGGATTTATTTCTCTTGCAGGCCTCGTACACATAAAAAGCACAACATTCCAATTTTATGCCAACACCTATTTTTTTGTTCACCAAAGGTATTTATTGTTAACATATGATTATTCTTCTTCTTTTTCTTTTATTTTAAAACAATTTTAAATTTTAATTTTGAAATTTATAACTTTTAATATTTTTATAATATAAAAGATCTAAATTTCAATCTCAAATTTCACAATTTAGATAAAGTAGCACACCCCTTTACCTCGCTGGTTATTATTTGTGTTTTTAATTTCAAGAGATATAAACATGGAGTTAGTTATTTAGCGGGCTTATTTAAATTCGGCTCAATTTAGGATAGACTTATTTGAATTGAGTTTGAAATATTCAAACATATAAAAAAGCTTACATAGCCAAACTCGACTCAAATCCCTCTGACTTGCGGACTTAGTCGGGCTAGCTCAAATACCTGAATTGTTAAATTTTATTTTATTTTTTTCCAATTTCTATTTTTATTTTTAAAAAAAATTAATATTTTTTAATTTTATCTTATTTTAATATTATTTTATTAATAATAAAAAAGAAATTTAGGTATTTGAGTTAAGCCTATTAAGGTTTGGGCTTGGCTAAGATTTCTTTAGGTTTATTTGGACAACCCAAATAAAAGTGAAGAAAATTTTCTAAACTTTCAAACCCAATATTAAAAATTTTCTCGAGCATATTCAGCTTTTCCCATCAAATTTGACCTAAATTACTACATCTATATAGATATAGTTCTTATTAAATTAATATCAAAATTTGTAATAAAATATATTTAACAAAAAAGAAAGAAAGAAACTAATGTCAGAGGTAAGACATCATTTTCCAAACAAAACACACCCATGCACGAAATAGCACTGGGCAAACGAGTTACGGGCTAGCCTGCGAGCTAACCTGCACGGGCTAGCATTTTTGTGGGTTGGGTTGGGTCAGCCCGCTAGATAAAACGGGCTGGAAAATTCAATCCAACCCATTTTCTAGCAGGCTAGCCCGCAAAAAATTATAAAATTTTTTGTAATAATTTAAAATTTATATAATATAAATATATATATATATATTTCATATTTTAAAGTAAATTAGAAATTAAAAAACTTGTAAATAAATAAAATAAACATAGAATTCAACCAAATAAATTTATTTTTTTAGATTTTTACTATCAATCATCTTTTCACCTAAGTGTGCTATCTTTGTCATTGAGAAAAAAATTTTGAATATAAATCCATATTATTTTTCTCAGTGAATTCATATTTATAATTTCAATCAATAGATCTTATGAGATTAATAAATAATATATATTCAAAATATTTTTATAAAAACTAATAAAACATCTTCACAAACTATAACAAAAATTTTATTTGTAAATTGTAAAAAGGATTTACATTATATTTCAAATGTAAAGAACATATTTGAGAGTTTTAAATTATATATTTAAAAAATATTATCATTATTGTAGATTTATAAAAAGATATAATGTAATTAAAAAATAAAAATTATTTTTTAAAAAATATGTTAGCCCGCGGGCCAGCCCATTTAGCCCGTAGGTTAGCCCATTTTAGTCCGCTAATTTTATAAGTTGGGCTGACTTTGTCCGTTTTAAAAAATGAATTAATTTTTTTAAATTAATCTGTTAAATTGTGCAGGTTAAATGAATTAGTTCGTGGATTTAACCCGTTTTGCCGGCTCCACACGAAAGAAACAGAAGCGTTTGCAGTCCAGCAGTCAGTGTCTTACTAGCCGTTGCAGGTGGGACACACGCAATAGGAATCTCTCGTGCCTCCGCAACGTTCAAAAATGTTTAAATAAAAAAGAAAAAGAAAAAAAGAGTGAACTCAACGTTCAAATTATTTGAATCTCGATTCACACCCTCTCTCTCATGCTTTATGCCCTGAAAGGAAACAAATGCCAAACTCCAACGACGTCGTTTTCAAGGGAGCCACAACGTTTTAAACCTTTCTTCTAGCATCCTGCGATCCTTTTCATCTCTGATTTTCGCTCTCTACCAATTGCTTTCGCAAGGACGGAGATAGAGAAACACTCTCTCTCTCTCTCTCTCTCTTTCTGGTTCTCTATCTCTTCCTCCTGCGTAATAAGCTCTATCTGCATTCTCTTTGATCTGCTCTTTGTTCTTCATTTCTATCGAATAAAGGTTTCAATTGAGGATCGTAATTGTCGTCATGGCTACTGTCAATGGTCAAACTGAAACTGCTCAAGGCAACATCACTCCCTCTAAGTCGCCTCTTCATGCGGCAAAGAGCGTTGATTCTCAGTCTGTTCTCCGAAGGTTTCATTTTTATTTTTTTATTTTTTCACTCTCTATTTTCTTCACTTTTTTCTTAGTGACCTTGAGTATTCTCGGAATTTTGCTTGGTTAAACCTTACATACACATATACTTGTGTTAAAGTTAGAGATTTTGACGCAGTATGTGTTCGATTCGTTTTGTTTCTCACCCCTCCTTTTTCTGTCTGTGATTATTGATTGTATCCAACAGGTTGCAGTCTGAATTGATGGCTTTGATGGTAAGATTTCTCTCTAAGATCTCTTTAATGACAAAACTTGTTAATTGTTGATTTATTCCATAGACTCTTAAGCGTATTTTGCTTCAAATATCAGTAATCAACGTGTTTTTAAGTTAGTTCTTATAAATACCAAAGCTGCTGGCTACTTTTTTTAATCTTAGTACTAGTGAAGAATGGAGGACTATGTGCAAGCAAATTTATTACTTTGTTCAGATTCATGCACTGCCTAATATTTGGGATTAAAGCCAATTAACAGACAAATAGATCTTTCTTTAATGATTTGGAAATTGCACTAATAAATTCTTGTGTTACTGGAATTACAGATGAGTGCAGAGTCTGGTATCTCTGCTTTCCCTGAGGAGGACAACATATTCTTCTGGAAAGGAACTATAACAGGAAGCAAGGATACAGTATTTGAAGGAACAGAGTACAAGCTATCACTTTCCTTCCCAAATGATTACCCATTTAAACCTCCTAAAGTCAAGTTTGAGACAACCTGCTTCCATCCTAATGTTGATCTCCACGGCAATATATGCTTGGACATTCTTCAGGCAATGCCCCGATTGTTATTATGGCACTTCGATGAGGTTATTTTAGCCATTACGTAACAATAACTTTCTTTCCTATTTTGTCATCTATAGGATAAATGGTCATCTGCTTATGATGTGAGAACTATTCTTCTATCAATCCAAAGTCTGCTTGGAGGTAATCTAACACACACTAACGGATTTTAGAATAAAGCGGTGCTAAATTTCCAAATTGCTTGCTCACTTGTATTTCTCTGTTTGATTTTTTGAAATTCAGAGCCCAACAACAGTTCACCACTAAATCCACAAGCAGCACAGCTTTGGAGCAATCAACAAGGTAACAATGATTAAGTCTGATAATTTATTCTCTCCTTTCTGTTATAATTTTTATTCACTGCAAAATAACCTAAAATATGGCATCTTTTGTGTTTTACAGAATACAGAAAGATGGTGGAGAAGTTGTACAAGCCTCCAAGTGCTTAGCTTTTTAGTCTTGAATTTATCAACTATCTAGAAAGTCTTTTCCTGTTTGATTTTAGGAGAAGAGAGATGCATACCTATTTTTGGTTGTTTTATATCTTTTCTTGATTTAATTCTTTTAGAACGGTACTTGTTTCTTTCTTTGGCGATTGAAACGCATAAATTGTATTCTCTTACTTTTTATAAGAAAGGAATTTTTAGCCATTGTGGCTAATATTTTTTCACATTAAAGTGTCAGGTACAGTTTTAACTTTTAATTAATCATAAAGAAAGATATCACAACTGAAATGTTTAGCCACACTTAACAATCCTATTGGGGCATTTAAGCTTTTTATCAATTTAGCATGAAAATAATCTTGTTTAGGGGGGGGGGGGGAGTCTCCTCTCAGAGCATTTTTGTATTTGTTTTTAATCAAGAAGCCCGTGTTTATCATAAATTGCACAATTTTTTCAATTAACGAGTTTTTTCTCGGTCATAATCATGAATCAGTAATTACACGAAAAATTACTATATACAATGCAGCTAAAATTGGATCAAGTTGATGTTAATGCATCAAGCACAAGTTTAATTGTGCAATTGTTAGGCCAAGTAAAAGGGTAGAAATTTGGCTAGGAGAAGCTTGTATAAGGTTTTTTTTACTGCTCAAGCCTAAGCCTACCCTAAAGTCTACTTTAAAAGTCCACTTAAAAATAAACATTTTAAATAAGCTCGCATTTCCTAAAGTTCACTTTAAAAGTCCACTTAAAAATAAACATTTTAAATAAGCTCGCATTTCAATTTTAAACATCTCAAATGTACTTTAAAACTATTATAGTATATAATAATTAAAAAGACTTACCAACTACAATACAACATAACAATAAAGTAATAACATTAAAATTAATATATACATTTAATATGATTGAAATTACAACTAGAAGTAATAAAGAATAAATTGATTAAAAATCAAATAGTGAAACTGATATATTTGTGATATATTACATAATATATATAAATAGGCTAGCTTGTTGAACTCATAGGCTAAGCCTTGAAAAAATAAATATGACCTATTTAATTAAATAAGCGTAATTAAAAGCTTGAACCTGACCTCAATTTTGTTAAAGACCTGACCTATTCTCACCTCTAGCCACTCAACACCATAAAATACAATGCAACTAATTTTTTTTAATTAACTTGATGTTCGATTATTATTCAAAAAATTGGATCTAATTGGAAGTTTAACTTATAGCTTTCAATTTTTCCCCATTTTTTACATGATGCAATATGTGGTTGATTATTCAAATAATTTACCAATTTCATAGTTAACTGAAATCAAGCTTTAAATTTTGTTCATGATGCCTCAAACTCAAATTGGATGCCTATTTAAACTGACATATTTATGCGCACATGACGCCTTAAGTTTAGTTTAATTTCTCCAATGAGAAAGATTCATATCATGGTGCGTGATCCATTTGGGAAAGTGGATAAACATTTTTCAAGCACACCTAATTTGTTTGTTCCGTGAGAGGAAAACAGAAACTAGCCGTGACCATTTTAAGATTCTCAACCCTTTTTCCACAATTAACACCCCCAATTTTTGTTATACATAATTGTTCAGTAAAAGAAAAGATATTTCTCAAAAGTTACAAAATACCTTACATTTTGGTATCAACAATAACTTATAAAAAATGCTTTACATTATAGACATGAGAGAGTATATAAAATAACTTTTAAGATAATTATTAATTCAGATGATCTAACATGTCACATTAGATCATATTTTTAGTGAAATCATCCAAAATAATAATTAACTTAAAAGTCATTTCATATACTCCCTCATGTCTACAATGTAAAGCATTTTGATGCCAAAATGTAAGATATTTTGTAACTTCTAAGAAATATCTCTTTCATTTACATAAAAATTATGCATTAAAAAAAATTGTGGGTGTTAATTGTGGACAAGGGCAAAACTGAACAAAGAAGTCAACTTTCCAAAAAATCTAGAAGAAAAAAATAGATAAATTTTCTTAACATACATGATGCACGTTGAGAATGTCAAATATTATACACTGAATGGAGCATGCATGCAAGAGAGACAAACTCATTTGAGACTGAAACGCTAAAAACACTATTAACAATCTGATCGGAATTGAACAATATTAAATAGAAAATAAGATGTCACCAGATTTATTCACAACTGCTTCTGTTGAATTTTAAATCATTTACATCCAGTAAAAAATGATGTTAAAAGTATTATAGTTTCTTCTAACCACTTTTCTGGATACAAACTCCAGTCATAGAATAGCCACAGCTTCAGTGAAAAAAGGCATTGATAAGTCCACGTCAAGAACTTAAGCTGCACATGTATGGAATGACTCGGCAATTATTTACACTATCCTGGGGCATGCAAAGGCCTTCATCCCAAAATACGTTGACGCACACTCAATGCAGAAATGGCCAAAGCTTGACAAGTGAGGGAGGAGGACGAATGATGGGACCCACATGGATGGTTCCCATGGACCCCATCACCCCTCTTCCCCACCCCCCCCCCCCAAAAAAGAAAAGTGGTACAATACAAAATTAATGGGTTAACGGCATATCAAAAGGTGGCCAATGCCAAAAAAAAAAAAAAAACCAGCATCTCAAATTGAGGGATAAAAAGACAAAATTCTTGACAATAGTGGAAGACTTTGTGCTAGACTGTCTACTAGAACCAGTTGCCTCAACTACTGTTATTGATGTTGCTATTGCTGCTGTCTTTGCCGCCTATTATGCTGTCCTTGTTCCTGCTGTGTTGGACTCTGATTCATAGATTGCATCTGGCTTCTCAATCTCCAACTTAAAAATTCCTTAAGCAGATAATTTACAGTCATTGCAATCCCAAATCCAGCAAATGAAGAAAGCATAACTGAAAGAACCACGTTTAATTTACGCTGCACGTACAAAAAAGGTAAACGATAAGATATATATACAGAGATCAATCTCATACAATTTTCAGTGGAATGGGATAAATCATAAAATGGGAAGATCAAACATAATCACAACATTGTCAGGAAAGAAACTAGGCCATCTTACTATAGTATAAAATACATGAGCCAGCAAGATGACAATTGCAAACTGGAAGCAAGCATAGGCCCACATGTAATCCCTGCTCACTAACACCAATAAAACTGATAGTGAGGTTTTAAAATTTGCAGACGAAGGTAATCATCATTAGCTAACAAGTGTTAATATTAATGAGACACATTATTAACTCAGCATCACGTAATCTATAGCAGCACAAAATTGGTGCAACTTTCAATAGTATCAAACATAAAAATATCGGACAAGGATGTGCCAGTAAAAGCAAGGAAAGCAAATTTTCATCATAAACTAACGGAAATGCAAAATATTTCCCACCACAAGAACCCGGGAAGTTACTCGTCAAAGTAGATTCTATTCTCCAATTATTACTATTTCCTTTGTCCGGGGGATTGCTGATTCCTTCATATTTAGAAGTTTCCCTCTAATGTCAATTTCAGCCACATCACTCAACCTAATCTTGGAATTGCATTTTCCTTATAATTTTTGCATGCGAACAAATTTTCAGCTTTTATCTCAAGTCAATCTCACTGCAATTACCTTTTATCTCAAAAACAGCAAGTAGGATGTTTTTATCCTGGACTAATCGAAAATCACAAGGGCAGCTAATTCATTAAAGATATGTTTCTGTTTTTAATGCTCGTTAAAAACAATTACTAGGTTCACCCAAAAAAAAAAAATTACTAGGATTCCGTGCATGCAGAGGCTCCATTTTTCACCAAGGAGAACTGGAAAACTGATGAGAATGGGCCCATTAAGGTCTACTATAGGATGAAGAAAACAAGAGAGCCCATTAACGTATACTCTAGGAAGAATGATGCTAGTAAGCAGCAGACCTATCAAGGGCAGATTCGCAGTAGTAATCTACTGTACTACTTAGATGACATGGAGGAAGAGAGCATGTGGTAGTGTTTTGGTTATGTAGGGAAGAGCATGGGGAGAGAGGGGGAGAGAGAGAGAGGATAGTGAAAAAGAAATATGGCGTAGGAGAGGCACTCTCCTCATGAAAGCTAGCTGTGTTTTTCTGTTTCTTCTTCTTCATGCTGTATGCCACCATTGAAGCTGCTGGAGCTTCTTTTCTTCTACAAACTCAAGTATATTTGAGCATCGTAAGTCTCTGACTCTCCAACGATGAAAACAGAGAAAGACAAAGCTTTAGGCTTATTAGTAATTCAAAGCTGTTCATTTCTTATATTTAATTGAATATTGATAATCTCAAAGTTTTCTCACAGGTTTAGTGGTAGCAGGGAGCCTTCTCATTATACAGTCTTGTGTACATCAAATCACCATTGCATGTAAGCCATTTTTATTCTTGGACAGTTGATTCTATTTTCAAGTAAAATATGGAAAATTGCACAGTTTATTTTCACTACCTTTATGAAATTTGTGGGACGTCACTTGTTAACATCCTGTGTTCATTTCAATGCTTCGTAGCTAAAATTTCAACTAGCCCAATAGAAAGGGACAAAATAGAGAACTGTTCACAATCTCTTCATGCAACTAAGTATAAGCCAGGTATAAAACTACTTAATATGCTTAGATAGACAGAAAGTGACAAATATACCCATGGTTGAAGCAAGCAAAGAGGCAACAAGGCCAAATGTGCAGGCGAAAGGTAGTGAGATGGCAAGAGCACGAGGACCCATATCTGAAACCTGTTAAATAAGAACTCAATCTGTCATACATGATTTAACTTAATTAAAAAAACGTTTAAAATGAATGTGAAATTTAAAGGCAAAGAAAAAAAATTTGAAGGGAGACAGAATTTTCCAATCTCTTTCCTAATGAACAACATTAAAATGAATCTAGTATTCAGGGTTAAGTCCTGAATTGTAAAGAACTTCATAGAAACACCATCTCTTTTTTTGCTTTTCTTTTGTTTTTGTTTTTTTTTTTTTGGGGGGGGGGGGGTTGGTTGGTGGGGAGCAAACACCATCTCGTTTTAGCCAAAAAACAGTAAATAAGGTGCAACTTGTGTCAAATTGCATCATTGAGAAACAAGTGAATTGAATAACCTAGAGAGATTGTAAATGAAAAGCACTAGGCTAGAAACATTCATTTTCTAAAATTTAATCCCCCCTAAATTTAAAGGCATTAGAGTGCTCAGCACCAGTTAGCAATGAGAAACTTGTGCATGGGAGGTTGGGAAATTGTTCTTTGCTAAAATTCAGGCTTGTAGTCATTAATTAAAATTAGACCTTTAGGCTTTCTCAAAGTCTCAAACCTTTCAGTAGTTTTCATGATTCCAAAAGAATTTATCATACCATGCTTTGGAGAAAAGATTTGGAGGTGAAAGTTGGATTATGATAGTGAAATTGATGGGGCGTTACATAGAATATAAGCTAGGTGATTGAAATAAAGAAAGGTGTCAAGAGTTATTTGTGAAACAAAAAGAACCTAATAAACTTAAAGGCAAATTTTATTGAATTGCTATGAGACCGAAAAAGTTATATGGTAGTGAATGCTAGCCATTGAAGAGATAAAAAGAACAAAAAGTTAGGGTAGCAAAGATGAGGATATTGAAATGAATTTGTGGTATGAGTATGACCATATACAAGGAAGATTTGGGGTGGCACCCATGGAGAAAAAGCTGATAGAAAATCATTTAAAATGTTCGAACAGGTACAAAAAAGGTTGATGAAGGTGCTAGTGAAGACAATTGAACATATGGTCTTGAGTCTTGTAAAGAGAAACAGAGGAAAACCAAGAACACTCAATAAAGTTATTGAAGGAACCCTTTCGTGAACAATACATCTAAAGAGTTGGTTGCTAATAAAACACAATGACGTAACACAATTCATGCAACTGACCTTGTCTAATGGGATAAAACTTGTTGCTACTATTGTTGTACTTCTGTTATTTATCGATTCAACTGCCGAACTTTGACTAAAAACAATAGAGTCCTTATAATTTCTTCACTTGAAACAAATTAGTCCCCATAATTTTATTTTTTTTTAACTCAAAATAACCTAGTTCCTATAATTCTTCAACTCATTAAGCTACAAGGACTGACTTGTTCTAAGTCAAAGCTTAGGAGCTAAATCAATAACAATAACTGAAAGAAAGTTTGAAGACTACAAGTTATATCTCCCCTAATTCAGTTAATCCTGATTTGCATATTCATATGTGGCAGCAGCAACTGCAATCCACTTTGTAGTGATCCTTCTACTACTCAATCGACTACTAACAAGAATATATGTTCATTCCTTCCCTAATTACAAGTTGTGAGTATTTGTTGTGATCTTATTGCTTCTTTTTTATTCACTTGTCACCTGTATCTATTATTAGACCTCTTTCTGAGGCTTATCTAACTTGGGGAAGAGAGGCAGTGAGAAAACAAATATGTTCCTTGAGACAAAATGGAAACCAGATGCTTGTGAGGATTCATTTTGGTAAGTTCAATCATTGCTATGATTAAGTGTAGATGTCAACTTCAATAGCCAACATGCACGGTACTATTATAGTCTCTAGATATTGACTTGAATAGCCAAGTCTTTTGTTAACTTCTCTTGGTTTCTTGCTTGGGAATCTTCAAGAGAAAATGTCCATGGAGCAATATGTGGTGTTTGTTGCTCAGAGTAAGTCAGATTTCATCTATAGGTGGAGGAAATCTTGAAGGAAAAAAAATATTGAAAAACAGTTTTCCATAACGGAGGGTTAATTAGAATTGCAACTGAATTTCATCTTGACATGCAAACTAGATCATTCGAGATTCAATTGCCATACTGGTTGAGTTATCTATATAACAAACTCTGCATACCGATGACATAACTGGTCATGACAGCAAGCATATGCTTTAGATATGAAGATAAATGAGTAAAACTGAACTTATTTTATTCAGTGGGCATCAACTCAATATGTACAGTAGGGCAGCCATGATACGGGCTGAGAAAGAAGGGATTTACAATGATAAAAAATAAATCAAAACTTCCCTAATATATCTAATCCTATTTGATCGTATAATATCTAAGGGCATAATTACCAAATATTATATATTTCCACACCCCCCTCAAGTTGGAACATAGATGTTGATCATGTCCAACTTGCTAATAAAATAATCAAACTTATCTCTACTCAAGCCTTTGGTAAGAACATCAATTGTTTGCTCCCTTGTCGGTATGTGCCTCATCTAGATGACGCTAGTATCAATCTTCTCTCTGATAAAGTGTCTATCATCTCAACATGCTTGGTCCTATCATGTTGGATTGGATTGTGTGAGATGCTAAATGCTACCATGCTGTCTAAGTACAGAGTGATAGGTAAGTTCACATTCTTTTTTAGTTCCTCAATGACACTTTTGAGTCATATACCTTCACAAATTCCTAAAGCAATGGCTCAAAATTTTGCCTCTGCACTACTACAGGCAAGTACACTATGCTTCTTGCTTCTCCAAGTAACCAAGTTTCCCCAAACAAAGGTGCAGTATCCAGATGAAGACTATTTGTCCTCTTGATCACTGGCCTAATTTGCATCTGTGAAAATTTCTACACCCTGTTTCTCAAATTTCTTAAATCATAAACCTTTTCTGGGAGTACCTTTCAAATACTTGAGAATTCTATAGACTTCATTCAAGTGTTTCTGTTTGAGGTCATGTGAGTGTTCACTCACCCTACTAACTATAAAGGCAATATATAGCCTAGTATGTGACAAGTAAACCAGTTTTCCCACCATATGTTGATACCTGCCCATATCAACAGACTTGCCAAGGTCCTCTTCATTGCTTATCTTGTCAACTTGGATAGGTGTGTCATCAGGTCTAAATCCAAGCTGTAACAACCCAAGTGTGTAGATATAAATTAAATTAATTAATAAAAAAATAAAGAAATTATGATAAAATAGTTAGGTATTTTAAAATTTTAGGGTAATTATAATGAAGTGGATGGTAATTTGGTGAGAATATTTTTGGGTCTCTATTGGCAAGTTTAGAGTTCAATATGGTTGATGCTAAAGAACTTACTTTATTTTTGTTCTAACATTATAAATTATAAAAAAAGAAAAGAAGAAAGAATATAATATTAATAAAAATCAACAACACACACAATGGGCAATAGGCATTAATTCTCATCCTTTTCCTTTCTTGCACATTCTCGAAATTCCAGTTTGAGAGAGAGACAGAGCACGAGAGAAAATCATCCTTATTTTCTTACTTTATTCTTCTCCTTCCGATCGCTTTTGTTAATCGCTAGTGACAATGGTTCGTCCATTGATGCTATTAAGGATCTGTTTTAGTGGTTTTCTCTCTTCCTTGCTTCTTGCAGTCACTCTGCTCTTCTCCTTCTTTGATCACTACAGTGGCGTTGAAAGCTTCCCTTGCCAATTGATTCATGCTTGTTTGGTGGTTCAGCACTTATTTCTCCATCTTCCCTTAGCTTGATTTGGTGTGGGTATGCTTGAAATCTCTCCTCTTCATTTTTTTTAGCGTGCTGCTGCCGCCCACCTATGTGTGTGAGTATGTTGCATGAGTTGTAAAATTTGATTTTCTTCCTACTCATATGTGTGATGCGTGAATTACAAAGTGGATAGAATTTAATTAAGCTAGAAATTTAATTTTTAAGATTATACTTTGTTAGATAATTTCACTTAAGCTATTTTGATTATTATAAGAGGAAGAAGGTAGGTATAGAATCACTCTTTTCTTAAGCCTAAATTGATCTCTGATGAGAAGTTTGATTTGTACCGTATAATTGTGATATCAGAATTGTTGGGGCAAAAGATTTAAGGTTAAGAAGTTTAAATGGACTGCTTTGAAAATTTATGCATACTGGGTGAGAGAGAGAGTTTGTTCATCTAGTAGAAAATCTATTAAAATTCTATTATGTTTGGTCAAATTAGTAGAAGAAGAGAAAAATTGATTACAGTTGCAAGAAGGGAAATTTGGATACAGGGTGACATATCAAGTAAGTAAATAACGTTCCCCAATGAAAAGAAGTGATGGAATTTCTTTTGCCTTACTCATTCATTCATTCATTCATATATTTATCTATATATATTCATTATTCAAGTTTAATTATATATGTATTTCCATGGTATTTTACTTTCTTAAAAAAAATAAATAAATAGTATTGTTTATGCATGGACCGGACAAATGGTGGATGAAAAAGTTATTCATACTTCACAAATTAAAGGAAAATTTTGAGCTATAAGGATTTTTGGATTTCATACATGACAGAAATGTTTATAGGATCGAATACAAAATACTAGTTACTAACGACAGTTTCGTTAGACCTTGATACACCATGGCACACCTAACTAGCAGGGTACATTGGAAGTGTTAGCCCCGTGTGTCGGCCAACACATGTGGAAGGGAGGATAGGATTTTGTGGATATAATCTATACCTACTATTTGTGAGCTTTATACTTGTGCCTATTTTTTGTGACTTCTAGTCACGCCAGATGTTACTTACCCTCGTGGACTGTGTGACCACGCCTGTTATTCGTTTTGTTTAAGTCCTAACAAAAAAAAATCTTTAAAATTGCATTTTTCGCTCTTAAGAATTGTATTTTTATGATTTGTTTTATATAAAGAATATATTCCTAACTTGATGATTACGATTCTCTATTCTCTTTTTCTATTTTGTTACTCAATTACCAAGGATAAATTATATGGTAATTTTCTAATACCATTGACAATTAAATTAATCTCTGGTTTCCTATT